AAAAAAAGCATTAAAAAGGCCTTCCCCCGGATTTCTTCATGTAAGTTTTTCATAATTAGGTCATTTTAAAACCATTCCCAACAAAGAAAACTCAAGTTTTCAGAAAAGCCTTCATACGAAAGAATTACCTTAGCTCACTAAAATTAAAAACGATTACAATGAACCAATTAACCATAGTATTACACAGAAACGATATTAATAAATGGAACAACAATGATTAGACGAAACACCAACTAAAATTTGTGCCATAAAATCAATATGTAAAATTTTGTAGCTTTGTAACAATGCCGATCATATGATCTCGAACCCTTTGTGTATCTATTTTATCTATGATCTCGAATATCACTTGGAATTTATACCATAAATAAATTTATACAAAGGGAGTGTTTCTTGTATGGTCCGACCGTGTTCTATACAATTTAAATTATAATGTGACAAAATTGAAATTATCTCTAAGTAGAAAACACAACAGGAATAAAGTTCCTTTTGAATGTTTAAAAATAATTAATGCTATCGGTGAATTTAAAAACACAGTCGGACTGCAAGACACCCCTAATGTTAATTTATCATATGACCATAGATAAATAGACATACAAAGTCATGCATTTAACCGGCTAATTCTAAATTTACTTTATTCAAACAAGTTCTTCCCCGCTATCAATCACTTTAAGCTCGAAACTGTTAACACAATTGCTTCGAGTGGTCGAAATTCACTTTTATGTACAATTTATTTAATCACTTTCTTTGTGTTAAATTTAAAAGAATTGATTGTAAATAGGTATGCAACACATCGTACACTTCAACATACGAAATTGCTGATACTTACTACGTAATACTACTTTGCCCTGTGCTGACAACACTCATAATTTCTCTTATATATATTTAGTTCACTGATTATTTTGTTATTTAAAGCTAAAGTTAAACTATAATTACTGAAAAAATTAGGTATTCTTTAAATGAGCTATTTATCACAGTAATCATGGGCTAATAATTCAAGTAGACTAAATTTTAACAAAACTTTACAGTTGGAACCTAAATAGAAAGCCAAAAGTAATTACTACAACCTATAAATTTTAGAAATAAATATACAATTTTACACTTAACTTCTTATAATAAAACTGATATCTTTAATTTGATTTGTCAATATTTCGAAATATGTCTTCATGTTACGATAGGATACAAGGGAAGTTAAAATTAGAAAACAGGCTTATTGTCTGTATTCTACAGGACACAAAACCATATATACTTTTCACATTTACAACAACTTAAACATATTTTATAAAAAACTCATTCTGTTTTATTTTGCTTTTTGCAGAAAACAAAGACATTTATAAAAATTATAAGTGCTATACCTATGTATATCAACGTTGTCATTTCCACTTTGTTTCTGCTGCTAAACATCCCTTACATTGTTGTATTATAGTAATTTTTACACTTTCGAGCCTCAAAAGTAAACAATTTTTGTTTATCTTTCTTTTTCCTTAAATCAAAGAAAAAACGATACAAACGAATAACAGACTAAAATTTTATACAATTTTATCATCAGTCGTTACAAATTTTGATTCTTCGCTTTTTCAAACGGAATAAATCGCTCGAAATCTTCTTACTTTTTATTTCGATGTGCGAGAAAAAATATCTTCCTCAGACACCCTGTATTATATTACTTGAACGTAATTACCGAAATGGCACCATTTGATTCGATATTTAAAATCTATCGGTTTACTTTACTTTTTCTTCCATTACATAAGAACGAGAACTACACCGAACTATACCAAAAAAAAAAAACAAACAATAAACAGAATGTAAAACATAAATTTATATAATAATATAATATTAAAAGTACTTTTTGATAATATAATCTTACTCGAATAAATTATTTTAAAAACAATGTACACCGAAATTGTCTTTTTGGTACCGTATCTTTGCCAGCACACAAAATCATCGATAACATCAATAGATTTATATATATCTCTTTCTCAAAGTCTTTTTACATTTCTAACTGTACAAGTAATTTGCGCTTAACGAAAAATGAAACGGAATCACTTCCTTATCCGTCCACTCTATAAAAACACGTTATTCATGTGGGCTAGTATTTATTTTTTATTATTGTCGATGCTTTTGCGCGCTGAAAAAGATCCAGCCTTTTTGGTGAATTGTTAAACTTTTCTTTTGAGGAAGTGGAGTAAAAAAAAATAATAATAGTGATAATAATGTAGAGACCAAACAAAATAGGCACTTTGGTCAAATAAGAATTTTTTCGTACCGTCATCGTATTATTTAAATGTAGATTTCTTTTAACCTTTTATTTACTCTGATAACAAACCGTTTTTAGCACAAAATATTCTCTACAATACAATGAAATCATTGGAAAAGAATATCAATAATTGAATTAATTACCTAAAAATACATAATGAATCCAATAAGATTTAACTGCCTTTTTTTATACTTAAACATTAACATGTAAAACATTTATTTAGTGGTTAATAACTTTATAATTCAACAACAAAAAAACAAATAATCGACGATTAAAGGTTCTTAAATTATAGGCATAAAATTTTCTGAAGATGCTACATTCAACTTTGGGTAATTTAGTCTAAATTCTTTAAAAAATATATAATAAATAGTTAACGTACATTTAACACTAAATCATTTCTTACTTTTTGTTTTGCTAATGAAAGGAAATAATTGAAAAGAAACTCACCCGTGTTACCATCACGGTTCGTTATCATTGTAAACAAAAGGTGGTTAATGTCTAAGACTTGTAACGCGCTCGTCTAGTTCTTGTTACACAGATAGTGCGGAAAGGGAAACGCAATGCCACCATAGGAGGCCTCCCTCGTCCAGGTTTTTATTCTTTCTCTTAAATTTGTTACTAGTCTTTACACAATAGTACAACTACGAGCTAGTTACATAGACGGCCGTCGTAGTCAGAAAGCCAACCGTTTTCGTGGAAAACGTGGCATGCAAACACAATACGGATAAGAAAAACGAATAAAACACGGTCTCAAAAAATAATACTACTAACAAAACAACTCGTATGAATTACTCACTGCTGCTTTTCTTTCTCTCACTCTATTTCTCTCTCTATCTCTCTATGACATTCACTCTTTTTTCTTAGGTTTCTTTGTACAAAGTCTTAACAGCTAGTTAGTTCAATTTCGATAAAAACGAAAAATTAAGAAAAAACTACTACAGGTTTTCTTCGCTCAAAAAAGATCGAAGAGATCCGCTATACCCTCGCACGCATCTAAACTGAAATTGTACTCGGAATGTGATAAGGGCTCAAGCGGCAAGAACGGCTCCTGACAAAGAATCGGGTCCATACCTAAAACAATACGAAAAAAAAAACTTAAAAGGCTAACGAAACTTTCATTACACATAAAAAATATAAGTATTACTTACATTATAAGCATAGATAACTAAATTTTTGTAAATACAAAGTACAAATTTATTATAAAAATATTAATCAATATTGTTCTTACTGATTTTATAAATATCCAAAGTCATGCATTTAACCGGCT